ACCTAATAACTATAAGTACTTATAATTAATAGTGTAAGAAGTTTATACACTCTAACTCAATACTATATTTTAACTTATTATAGTAAGTTAGTTTTCCTTTAATGAGCAGTATAGCAGGTAAGCTTCCCTTTAATGAGCAATTTTTTTTGGAGTTTTTATGTGGACACAAATTCATATTTCAATTATGGTCCTAAAATAGATATCAGACACCGGATAAATAAAAATAAAATAAAAAATTTCCTACATTGATCAACTTTTTTAAAACGGTTATGTAACTAGCTTCGAGGTGATCTGATAGTGCAAAAAAATATGCGAAATAATAACAATAATTTATCTAGAATAAGATCTGAAAAGGATAGGGTGTACGCAGTCTCACAGGTGTATATAAATTAAACTCCATGGGGTCGTTTGGTTGAGAACAAGTTATTTCGGGATTAATTATGCCGAAATATATTATCCTCATCAAATAAGTTATTCCAACATATATATATATGAGCTAACTTATTTTATCACTATGATATAAATGATGACATAAATAATCCAATGATTATCTAATACCTCCAATCAAACGTAGAATAAAACAGTTTTACATTTTATCTTGAGATTATTATACCTTATATATATCTCACACCAAGCGACTCTCAAGTTGTAATGAGATCTTTCTATATCTTTGATTGACAAAAATATAATTGGATAATGAAAAATAATTAATAGACTTGGAAGAACATAATTAATAAACAAAGAACCTCAATAATGTCATTATCAAAAGGGTATCACATGGTATACACTCATTGCCTCTCTTTTTTTCTTTCCCCTTAGCCATTTCAAAGGAGTCCTCATGGCTTTGGTTTCACATTTATGTTTGTGTGATTATGACTTGAACTCATTACCTGCCTTCTTCTTATTCTTCAACAACAATTTTCCTCTTTCTTTCTTTTTGGTTTTTTGTATTTTATAAATATTTTTAGTGTTCCTATACTAATTACTAATTCTTGATGAGTATGGATGATTCATTTGATGAAGAGTGTGATTATTTATTCAAGTCAGTTCTTGTTGGAGACTCAGCTGTGGGGAAATCAAATCTTTTATCAAGATTTGCAAGAAATCAATTTCAGCTTGATTCTAAGCCAACTATAGGTGTGGAATTTGCTTATAGAAATATTAGAGTTGGTGATAAACTCATCAAGGCTCAAATATGGGACACTGCTGGACAAGAAAGGTACCCAACTTTTTCCTTTTTATATTCTCTAGTCTTCAACAATCTATCTTTCATTGTTTAACATGGATTGTCGTGGGATGGTTGAGATCCTTCTATTCTTAATCAGATGTCTCGAGTTCAAATCTTTAAGAATGAAAAAGATCATATTTAAAACGTTTCCCCAAAAAATGGATCATACATTGCACGAATTCAAATATAACCAATATTAATACAAATATCGAACATTGAAAGAAAAAAATATATTCTTAACACATGTTTTGTGTGTCTCTATTATGATCATAGTTATTGAATTAGTGCAAGTTTGGTTTAGTGTTGGGATTCTCCCTTTGAAACTCTTAATTCTCTTTTAGCTCAATTTCAAATCCAATTTACCGTCAAAACTTAGAACTCTATATAATAATCATCCTCTGTAATAACAAATCATTGTGATAATCAAGTTTTCATTTGTAATAATTGTTTTTCATGGTATATAGTTAGGTTATTATTATAATAATATCTCAAAAAAAAAATTGAATAAAAAAGTATTAACAAAATATTTATGAATAAATAGTATAATCTTGTTGTAAGACATGCAAAGAGGAAACGGAGAGAAAAGATGTGAAAATTGCAAGAAAGTTAAAATTAATTTCAACATCAGTCCAAACCGGCCAATTGATCTATGAACCTTATCTACACGCCTCTAAAAAGTCTATTGTTTTTTTTTTTAAAACATCTAAAAAAGTCTATTAAAGTTAAGATACCAGCTCACTTGACATAAATGATAAATTTGACTAAAAAACATACATTTAAAATTTAATTAAATCTATTTACGTTCACTTTGTTTTTTCTTTTGTCGTGTCCGCTATCCGTTACACCAATTCAAATAATTGCTTTAAATTTCAATATATATCTATATCCAATTACCAAAAGCAAAACATAATGCAAATACGACGTCGTCAATACTTTGCATTATTATTATTTTTAATATTTTAACTTCATGGTGGGCTATAATTTTGAACTGTTACAAAGAGTGTGGATGTGTAGTTTTTGACAATACTATCACTATAGTATAATTTTTAGTAGCAATAAATATACATATTTTTAAAAAGAGCCAAAAAATTTATCAACATTAGTTAATTAACATTGAATTTAATGTCGATGTAGGTTTTCGGGACATTTAAAAAGAGTGTTAATTGTCTCTAAAAATATGTATTTTGCTGTAATTAAGCTATTATCGTTAATTAATTGTCGCTATAGTGTACTTAATCAAAACTTTTAGATGGATGTTATTTTCTTTTTCGGGTAAATTTAACACGTAGAAGACAATGCTGTATTTACTTAACTATATGAATGTTCCTTGGCGTACGATTTTAAAATATACGATCCTTTGTCTAGGATTACAATTATATAGGAGTGAGTGCAAGTGTTTGATTATAAAATATATGATGTGTGAATCATATTTTCGAATATTTATGTCCTCCAGGTTTAGAGCAATTACAAGTTCATATTATCGCGGAGCCCTTGGTGCTTTACTTGTCTACGACATAACAAGAAGGACAACATTCGAAAATTTAAGAAAATGGCTACATGAACTTAGGGAATATGGAAGTTCAGACATGGTAATTGTTCTTGTTGGTAACAAATCTGATTTATCAAATTCTTCAAGACAAGTAAATATTGAAGATGGACAAAGCCTTGCACAATTAGAAGGATTATCTTTTTTGGAAACATCAGCTATGGAAAATTTAAATGTTGAAGAAGCATTTCTACAAATGATTAACAAAATTCATGAAATTGTAAGCCAAAAGAGCTTAGAAGCAAAGTTAAATGAAGTGACTACACCAAAGTCACTTCAAGAAGGGAAAAAATTAGAAATTATTAACATGATGGATAATGAAGTAACAGCCACTAAACAAAATGTTAATTGTTGTTACTGAATTTACTAATTGTTTGTAATTTCTTTTGACATATTATATAGTTGGAGGGAAAAAAAAAAAAGATCACACTTTAATTACTTTTGGTTGTTGCTTTTCTTTGTGTTATATTGGATCTTGTTAACCAATCTCTTTGTTTCTTTTGTGAACTTATATATACTACCAGAAAATATAGAATTAGTTATTAAGTTTATTGGTAATTTCTAGCTAATCCAATGTTAAATAGCTCTTAGCTAATTGGTTTTTCATATAATTCATTGTTAATCTATAGTTAAATGAATTTAGTATAAGATTATTATTATTATTTAGCAACAAAATTTTCTCCGATTCTAATTTTTTGTTTTCTTGGAGATATACACATAAAAAAATTCTATCACTAATTCTTTGTTTTCTAGTAAACATATATACACATAAAAATATTGACGATATATAATATGAAATATATATGTACATAAAAATATTGACGATATATATTATGAAATATATATACACAAAAAAATATTAACGATATATATATAATATGATTTTTTGAAAGAATATGATTCAAATAAACTCCTTCATCCCCTAATTCCACTGTAGCAACTAGCAAGTGGATCGGTCTCTTTTTGATCAAGTAAAAAATATTATACTATGGTAAATTTTAGCACTAACAAAACAACACTATAATGACAAAGTAATTATGAATATTGATGAAAGTTAATTATTCGGAAACAAAGAGATCTCAAATTTCTCTTAGTCCTTTTATCTTAAAGCATGAATCATTTTCTGTGGATTCTACACGACGATACAAATTTAAATTAATCGGGGCTCTAACATGTATATCAGACATTAAATGAAAAAAAGAAAGAAGCATGAATCAATAATTGTTTTAAATTTTCTTATATGATTGCTCAATGGCATCGATTGATTTTTATCTAATATAAATTGTTTATGTAGTTGAGGAATATTTGGTACCAAATACATTTTAAAAGAAAAACTTATGTAGAAAAATTACAATACCCAAAAATTATATGCAGTAGAATATACAACACGACTATTGATGAAACTAAAAAAATTATATGCACAAAAGAAAAATCAATTGCTGGATAGATTGTACAATATGGTCATATAATTAAGAGGAAAAATAATCATATTTATTTGATTTCAATTCTTGGAGATTCAATAGATGGGTTGTGTATATATAATTTCAAAATTTAATCAAAAAGAATATAAATATCATGAAATATAAATATTTTACTAGTGCTGTCTAATTGATTGAATGATGTGTCTCGTGAAGACTTTGATTAATTAGTTCCTTTAATCTCTACAATATTTACGTCTTTTTCATGAATTAGACCCAAGACTACTATAACTTCTCTAAACAAATTCTAAATATTTTATGATTAAGCCATATGACCCCACAAAAAAAAAAATCGAGAATGAACAAGCTTAAATCTATAAAATCTATCAAAACTTGAAAGTTTAATAAATAATGTAATATATCTCATTTAATTTTGATATGACTATTAGGTATTAAACAAATGCATTACAGTATATTTTTGATAAAATATATGTTAATGCCTAATAGTATTAAATTTTTCTTGGAAAATGCAAATAAACATCTATTTATTTATTTAAGCAAAGCAAACATAAAATTAGGATTATTGAAAGTAAACAAAAGAAGAAGAAAAAAAAGTAGGATAACTAATTGTGATCAGATGGATTGAACGATTAATAAAAATTAAACTATTCTAAAGTTCAATTTCCAAATTCTGAAATATGGCACAAAGAAGAACTGAAATTTCTTTCAAAGGAAAAAATTAAAGAAATTGATCCCTTAAAAATCAAATGTTCCCTAAATAATAAATCCACAAAATATTATTCCCTTATCTCTCATTCGAAATCTTCAAGTTCTTTTTGCAGTAATATTTTGCCCCTGAGTTCGGACCGGGAAGAATTCGATTCATGAAGAAGAGGTTACCAAACGGCCCGGACCACTGAACGCATTTTTTTCTCCGACTCGGCCTTTCTCTCTCAGTTTTTTTTCACTGAAATCAAATTCGCAGCAGCATTTCGTTAACAATGCTTCAATTCTGATCTACACCGACAAGGCAATATACTAATTGACCGCCATGGCTCACTGGATCTCTTCCAAGCTCAAAGTCGCCGAAAATCTCCTTCATCAGGTTCATGTTTTATCTCATGCGAATTGCCTATAGTTTTTATTAGGAATTTAGTGGAATTAATTTTGATAATTTTTGGTTGATTTTACGAGTATAATTTTGTACTTAGTACTCCTAGTAGTTATCTAATTGATTTTCCCTAATATTTATTCGAGTGGTTCAGATAGATCAACAAGCAGCTGATTCACTCCGTAAGAGTGAGAAGCAGCGATCTGATGATATAGATCGTGAAAACATAGCCAAAACTAATGAAAACAAGCCACTTAAGGATCAATTCAAAAAGAAAAGTCTTGAAAAAAATGATATAATTCAGAAAGCCAAAAGTGATCGCAATTCTTCTTCTATTAGCCTGGATAAGAATAATAGCTTTGGCAGCAATAGTAATTATAAGATACATAAGGAAGCGGTGACGCCAGTAGATTCGAGTCCCAAGTCCAGTCCCAATGCTCTGACTGATAATGATTGGACTGAATTACTAAGTGCACCGTGCCCAAATGCCACTGCTGGGGGGACTACTAGTAGTAATGGAGTTGGAAGTTCCCGCAGTGGTCGGAATGATGGTAGAAAGCAAAGAAGTTTGGGGTCTGGGTCAAATTTACCAGCTTTGGATGGGAAAAGGAGCCATAAACCTCAAAAGGTTGTTAAGAGTGTTAAAGGGCCAAATACCCATTCAGAAAATGAGGCAGACGGTAGAAGGATAGACAGAAGAGCTAGCAAAGTGGACTATACAATGCCGGTGACTTCAAATGTTGAACTCAAAATTGATGGGGAAGGTTTGGGTAAGGGGGACCATCATCGAAAACATGAAAATGTGAAGTCCTTGCATGGAAATAAGGATGTACAAAATGAAGTAAAGAATGAAGGTTTGGACGTTGTTAAGGGTGTAGATCTGTCTCCGGTGAATAATCGTTCTGGAGATAAGAGCCTTGGCATTGTACCGGGGTCTTCCACTCTTAATAAGGAAGTGGACATGAAGAATAAACTGGATGACAATCAGAGGAATAGGCCTGCAAAGGCTATGGTTGACAGACCAAAATTGGACTCTCGGAGTTCCACTTCTCTGAAGATGAGCTCTTCTTCACCTAGTAATGCAGAGTCTGATTCTGAGACAGATTCAACATCTTCATCAGACTCGGAAAGTGAACGTGAAAGAGAAGAAAGGAGAAGAAGAAGGCAACAGATCCTGGCTGAAAAAGCAGCCGCAAAAGCAATGGAAGCTATAAAAGAACGTGAGAACAAGGTTGCTAAATTGGAAGGGGAGAAACAGAGCTTAGAAAAAATACTTGAAGAGCGGGCCAAACAACAAGTTCAAGAGGTAAATATTTGATCTTTCTGTTTACTGTTGTTATTTAGAATAGTTTACTTTCCTGGTTTTAAGTTGTGGTGGAAATCATAGTTTTATTTCATAAAAATTGGCTTGCTACCTTAGGGAATGATTTGACCTTCCCCAACCACATGACTGAGCAGCTTCTGACTCAAGATCGTACGGACTTGGTGGAAATAACAAGTCTTTTTATAAGTAATGGCAGTAATCTGTTTGCTGTTTGGAGTTTAAGATAAAATGTGCATTGGCACGTGAAAGCCTTCAGAAGAAGCGTCAACCTCTATGATTCTAGTTACATAATTTTGACTGGAAGTTTGTCAATTTTTGGTAGGTTGCTTTTAACTTCTTCTAGGAGGGATTCTAAGGTCGCTCGTATTGAAGTAAAATTTGAACAATTTCAATCAAACCCCATTGGCATGTTACCTTGATAGACTTAGACACTTGGTTGTATTCTTGACTATTTCCTAGTTTCTGATTTTAGTTTTTAAAATTGTATACCTGATTGATGTTCTGATCAAGTCATTTTATGTTGTGATGATCTGATCTTACCTTTTCCTTGGTCTCCTGAGAACATGTTTCGCCAACTTTTTGGTTATTTTTTTGTTAAATAGAAGTTGGAAAAGAAGAATAATAAAAAAATAATGCATGTTTTGCTAATTCCATGCCGTCTTAGGTTGTAAAGGTTTTCCAGGAGTTACTCTTGCTTTATTTCTTCTGATTGGATTACATTTTGGTTCTCCTGCGTTCTCAGTTTTCTCAGAGAACTCCACTCTTTAAAAAGAAAAAGAAAGAAATAGATGGAGGGGATTTTCCTTCATTTTCTTGTTATGTGGACTGCATGGACTAGAATCTGCAAACCAAGGTGTACGTTGTTAAACATTTGCCTTGCAATAGAACAACTTGACTCCAAATGAAACTGTATCTGGTTTGATACTTGACGAACAGAATCATTTGGGGAAGATCAGGGAATGAGAATACTGCTTCTTTAATCACTAATTTGCACTTCCCGTTCATAAATTAATTTCCTTTGTAATGTCCTTAGAAAAGCTGACGTTTCTCAGCCTTGCTTGTTCTTCTCCCTAGTACGTCCACCTAAATTTTTCACCATTGATAAGTCAACAAAAAAGGAGAGGAATTAAAAGGCATTTCAAACTTATGACCAACTACCTTGCTTATGACTACTACTTTGTTATAGGCTTCTGAGTTACAGACGAAAATGATGGAAACAATGGAAGCTGTTGAGTTGGAGAAACAGAAACATAATAGTACTAGAATGGAAACTCTTGGCCGATTGGCAAAGCTTGAGGTACTTCACAATCTGCCTAATCATTCTGCTTGTACATATTTTACATTCAGTTGTTGGGTTTGGATAACTGTCATGGTTAAAGCATTCGTCCAGAGAATCATACATATTTGAAAGTGCAGATTTAATGCAGTAGCTATTTCTTGCAGACTGTCAATGCTGAACTTGCAAGGTCTCTCGCTTCTGTTCAATGGAATCTTGAAGTAGAGGTATATGAAATATTAACCGTTGTTTCAGCAGAATTTGAAATTCTATTGTACTCTACTTCTACAACTAGAAAACAGTTACACAGCACATTTTCTGTTGCACTTTCTGGGTGTTAATTGCATTTGCCCTGCGATGCGATTTCATAAATGAAGAATATTTATAACTTTTTATTCATAGCTGATTCATTTTGCATCTCTCCACCTTGGTCCTGTGGAGTATTGATGTTCTCTTTTTTATTTCCTTTTGGGAGAAAGGGGGGAGGCAGGAGTGCCACTTCAGGTTGTTGCCAATACATTTTGTCCCACCTCCCCACAATACACACAAACACACACCAAACAAAAGGATACATAAATGAAGAAACTATTATGTGGGTTCTTGCTTCACCTAGAAAGACATTATGTTGCTTTGAGCATAACAACATTTAATATGAACTCAATTATTTTTAATATGACAGCTTAAAGAAAGTATTACTGACTTGGTTTTTAATATGAACTCAATTATTTTTTCAACTTCAGACATCACTATTTCTTCTGATTGAATATGCTTAAGAATCAAAACTTTCGAAAAAATGTTAATAAAAGCATGTTATTAATTAGTGTTTAATCTAATGCTTCAGGTTAGTCAGGTTGCTGAACTACGCCAACAAATTGAGTTAAAAGAAGCGGCTCATGAAGGTCTGCGTTTGATATCTTGACCGAGTCAGAAGTTGTTATCTTGTCACGCTTTTTTCTTCTCACTAATCAGAAAAAGCTGTTACCAATACCTGTATGGCGAATGTGCATTCATAAACTAAACACATCTTTGGTTATGTGTGATAATATGAATTTCAGATAACTTATGTTGTCAAAGTCTGCAAGCTACAGTACGTCATTATGTGGCATTCCCTGCTTGAGACATCAACATAGTATAAATTGCATTGCAATATAGGTGGCTGGTTGATTTAATGATTTACAGGACAGGAGGCCAGTTTTCTAGTCAGCTTCTGTAGATCAGTTCATCTATTTATTGAATAAGATCCATTGAATAAAAAAATGAGAACAGAAAAGATTGAAATTGACAAAATGTTTTGTAAAAATGATTTCTAAAGCTTTTTAACAATCTTCTTGTCTTGCAGAATTAAGAAGGAAGATATCTAGGATACAGGGAAGTGGTGAAAAAGTAAGTAATGCCTACTTTATTTTTTTGGTCTTTAAGCAGATTACTTTCTCTAAGATGAGTTTTCCTTTCCCTATCTTCTAACTTTTTTTCATTTTGATGAAAATTACTTGTAGTTGGTGGCTTCAAAAGGGATTGAAGTGGAGAGGGAGATGCTTGAAGCAGAGCACTCTTTCTTAACAGATAAAGTGGGATTGTTGCAAGAAAAGGTAACCCGACTTTTGGCACCGTCAAAATTTACTTTTCTGCTGGACCTTTTTGAATTAATATAGGAGCCCAATAGTACAATATTCTTTGGAAACATTAGATCTGAGTGGATCATGTATTCCAACTTTATTTCATGCACTTCTGCTAGCACTATTAATTGTTGGAACAACAGTACTATTTGGGTTTCGGCCCAGAAAATGTCATGTGAATAGCCTAGGAAAAATCAGCTAGTTATAGTTCATTTGACATGGCATTGTGTGGCATAATTCAGAGCATGTAAATGAGTTCTAAGACAAATAATTCGGAGAGTGCTGCATTGGTTTTGCTCTGAAATTGCATATGGATCATGATAATTTGCTTACCCGCTTTCAATCTGAAGAAAATCAAAATGTTAGGTTACACTGACAAATTTATGGTGCCCCTCTCGTTTCATCAGTATCTGCATCTTATGGTTACTGCTGCAATATGAACCCTTGAGTTAGTACGTCAATGTTTTGTTATTTTACAGCTATAAGAAAATGACCATATTGTAGGGTACTTGTCTTGCATATGAGGGATCCTGCATAACTAGTATGTTTGAAATGTTATTGGCCATTGTTTTAAGAAATTGGTGTTAGAGTGTAAAAGCAATGATTGACTTGGATCATGGCTAGTGGTGCTTTGCTTGCTTTATTATCTGTTTAACTCATCTTGTTCGATCGATGTGACCACTGGATCTCTAGGCAAAGACACTAGAAAGAAGCATTGCCACAACACAGCATGAACTGGAAAACCCAACTGCAGTGGAGATTGAGCTCAGGCGGAGGCTTGGTCAATTTACCGATCATCTGATTCAAAAACAAGCTCAGGTTCTTCCTCTTAATTAACTGTGACTCAACATGGAATGAATTTTATGGGAAGAAATCTTGCTCTCAATTTTCTAGCTGTTCAAGCTGTCTATTATGTATTATATTTGCTGATAAACATAACACATGAATCTGTCTATGTTCAATATGCCAAAATGGAAAAGTTCATATTAATGGATCCTCGAATCCACCGTCTAATTCTGTAAATGATACCAAGCATGCTAACTACCAATAGGGAGTCATTCATCTGGTTTTCTGCAGATAGTTGTACATGGACAGTAGACGGTTTCTGAACTTTGCTTGTATTTTAGGTTGAGGCGCTGTCTTCTGAGAAGGCCACAATGACATTTAAAATCGAGGTACATTTCTATTGTTGAATAAGATATTTCCATTACAATTTGAATAGCAGGTAGTTCACAGAGTGCTTCAATCCAATTTTTCGTATCATATTTAGGCGGTTTCAAGGTCGTTAGAAGAAAACAAGTCTATGTTAACTGATTTTCCCAGTACCTCATCAATGGGTGATTTGGAGTCTGGATTGTGGATCTCCAACTCAAAGTTGAGGCCTATGTTTGAAGAAAGAATGCGATCAGGCCAGCAACATTTAGGATCTCTGATTCGGCAGTTGGACTCCATCTTCTGCACCGGAATGGTGTTTCTTAGAAGGAACTCAAACGCAAAAATATTTTCTCTGGTTTACCTCGTCTTCCTTCATCTTTGGGTCATATACATTTTAATGTCTCATGCTCCTGTCTCTGAGGACACCACTGGTGCCGTTATTTCCTTGGAGAATATCAACAAAACAGGAGGCATATGATATCATTTATTGATGTGTATCATCAATTTTTTTGTTTTGAGGTCCTTTCAGCATCCCCACCCCCCTCAGCCAAAAACACAGATGTATAGAAATGCACCATTTGTTAAACAAACCTCAGATGGTTATGACATATATGAATGATCCTTCTTGTATATCTAGGTCAAGGAATGTATAAGTTTTAAAGGTTGATATGCATTTCACGGCAAATAGAAATTTCATTGATCTAGTTATGGTTATAAATCTTACTTCAACTCATTATTATGACCTCCACGTTTATGCGTTTCTCTCCTTATATATGACTGTCCCCGTTCCCCCAAGCTGCAAAATATTGATGGAAAATACTTATACCAAATCAAACAATTTAACCCTAAGACTCACAAACTTGAGTGAAATTACACATCATAGTGTTAAGGGTTTATGTTCAAGACGTGTTTTGCATCCATTTGTCAATTGTTTAACATAAATTTCTGTCGATGACATTCTTTTGGTTTTTGCATGTGTAAAATATACTAAAAACATGCCACTACAAAGGTTGGCGGGGCGGGTTGCGGGTATATGTGATTTTATGTGGGTGTTTAAACTTAATTTAAATTTTTTACATGTTATAAGAGTGATAGAACATTATTTATTAAAGATAATTTCATTAAAACTACTAAAATATTCAAGATAATAAATAAAAATAGTTCAATAAAAATAATACAATTTCTTATATGTTTCCCAATTAACCTCTAAAAAAAATATAATTTAAGTCACTATCCTATAAAATTAATACAACTTAAAAAAAATAAAATTATGAATTTTATTTTTAGTATCAAACATAACTTGAAAAAGAAAATATTAAAAACATTATGCGGGGCGGGGTTGAAAATGAAAAGAGTAGTTATGCGGGGAGGATTAAAAATTTTGCGGGTTAAGCTCAACCCGCACCGCCCCATTGCCATTCCTAGCTGAGGCGGACAAAGCAAACAACATTCTAATAATATTCTTCTTGTTTAATTCTTGGTGAAAGCTTTCGAGTTGCCATGACAAAGAAGAAAGAAGCTTACTCAAACTATGTGAATGCAAGATTTGATCCAAGATACAATTGCAGAACAAAGCAAAAGGAGTTTGAAAACACAGCCCAAAACAACCAAATAGATGGAGTTTATTAAAAAGATTACACTATTGAAACAGAGTAAGGGAGATGTTAAATAGGATTTTGAGCAGCCTAAGAAGATGTGGGAATAATTAAGCAAAGCAAGTCTCTATACAGCTGGCAAATTACTTGGACTAGTATGGAATCCCAAAAATGAAGCTGTCAACTCATCTTCGGGTCTGTTCTACTGCTTCCTTGCTGGTTTTGTCTATTCCTTGCAAACAACAGAAATTTCTTATCAATTCCACAACAATGTCGTCTAGGTAAAAGTTGATTCTTGCAAATAACTAACAAAATCACAGAAGGTGCTTGTGGCCCCAAGTAAAACCTATTGTAGTTTCCTCGGTAGTTAGCACCAGTTAAGGTTAAATCTTGAGAACTACAGAACTTCAAATTTGAACAGCACCAAAAAAACAGTTATGATATCAACAAAATGTAAAAGATTGAATTAAGTTGACCCTTTCTGAAGTTCAGAGAGAGTGCTTCCGCTTAATTGAAGAAAAGAACCACATGTCATATACATAATTGGAAAAAGAAATTGTGAAGGACAAACTTTGAGCGAAGGATTAAGTTTTACCAGCTTAACTCTTCTTGAGGAAGATTGCGACTGTATAAGGAAACTCAAAAAGGAGTATGGTTTTGAACCATTGAGGAAGACTCCCATACAATCCAGGAGGCAGCAGAATAAGAGGGCTGAAATAAGTATCATATCAATTTTGCCATTTTACACTTAAATCAGAGGAAATAAGAGTGAAAACTATAAACCAACCTAGTTTTTCTCTTGTATGATCTGTATGCAGCAACATTTCCAAATTTCTTGTCTCCTGATGCCTGTTTAATTAGCACGTAACAGCATAAGTTCATGTTTAGAGGCAAATGTAGAAAGACAGAGGAACGATTGTACCTCAAGCAAGGGCATGCCACTAACAAAAAGGAGAAGCAAGGTTATGAATACTGGTCCAAACACAACTAGCTATTCAGTACCCTCTAGCACCGATGTGGAAGCCAGGAAAACTCCCCACCAAAGTAAAATCTGAAGAGCAGCATAAAATGTTTAGCTAGTCCATTTAAAGATGAAAAGAAGATTTTAAGATTGCACTTGACACGGTTTTCAGTAACATGTAGTCTTTAAGTTAAATAGAAAATCACTATGTTCATAGCCTTAATTGAGAAATCAACTCTTCTGCCTTGGGCACCTCAATTATTTGTAACAAAGGGTGTCAAAATATAAAATTGCCGGCCCTTGCTTATAAAAGAACTACAAATTCTGTGCACTTAGATCTCAGGAGGAAGAAATTGAAATTCATCAAGATGCTCTGGAACCAATTCTGGTTCTAAGTCCAAACAGACTCTCAACTAAGATATCATACTGTAGCTTGGGTCACAACGTAGGCCTAGCACGAGGAAACTCTTTATTGTACTAAATGTATGCCATCCATTCAAATAAGCTCAGTCAACTTATCTATCAAAAATACTACTTATTCTTTCTGTTACAGGTTAAGGGGACAAAGTTCAATGATCTTGGGTATTTCTCATACTAAGCTTGCATACTTGACTCCCTCAAGGTGGGTTTTGTTGTGTGAGTTATAATGTGCCTAGGGTGAAAAATACTCCCAGATGAAAATATTTTTTACAATCAACAGCATCACCATTGATTTATTAAAATAAGCTCTATGTGTCATTACAAGTCACAAGATTCTAAGTGCAGTATCTAGCTATCCACATATGGTAGGTAGATACACAGCGTATCCCTGAACTGGCATCATATTGTAAAGCCAAAGATCCCGAGCTTACAGTGTTTGTTACTATCTTTAAATGCTATTCGTAAAACAAAACTAAATAGATAATCAAGTGTATGTAACATGTACCCTATGACTTCCACAGAAGAACACCTTTTTTGCATGAACTCGCAGTATTACTCTCATAGACCAATTTTATAGTCCTACATTGGTTGGGTTCACTTATTAAGAGAAAAGCTAAAATTAGAGTACTGTAAATAGAAGTGAATCATATATAGAGCAAAAACATACTTCATACGAGTTAAAGAATTTATCTTTGCAGGAGTGCGTCCCATATATATTTTGAAGTCATCCAAAATGTTAAAAACAATGAATAGCGAAGGGGAAAAGGATCCCATAGAAGGAAATTGACACTTCAAGCAAACGGATGGACAAAAACAAAAAGTTGTTACCATCTTTTTAGTCTGGATAGAGTATCTTGCAAGAAGATAACTAAGTTAAAACCTCCTACGGGTCACAATATTGTTTGCGCAGGCATGCGATATTTGTTCTCGTGGAACAAGCAACTCATCAGTAGCTCCATCAGGTTGAACCTTACGGCATCAAAACTCACAATAACTTCCACAAACTACAACACAAAAGAAGAGACATTTAAAAGGACTAACCTCACCAAAATAGTTCGGATGACGAGAATATTTCCAAAGGCCAACACTGCACCATTTTCCTCTGTTCTCCGGGGAGTTCTTGAACGCCAATTTTTGTTGGTCAGCTGTAATCTCAACCAAAATCCCAATAATCCACATAATCCAACCAATGATGTCTTGAGTCTGAACAGAAGGCTGCTTGTCACTTGCATTAACAACTGTCACTGGTAAACTAACAGTCCATACCCAGATTGCCTGCAATAAAAATTAAGTCGTCATTCCCAAAGCAAGTGTATTACTTCTTCTGTTGCCTGCATGAAGAAAAGGTTGTCATTCACAAAAGTGGAAGTATCTATTTCTGCTGAGAGCGTAAAACCAATATAAAGCAAGACAATTTACGAGATGGTTGGATAGAAGCAAACAAAACCTGAAGTATCCAAGCTATTGCCAGTTTTCCAAGATTGTCACGTATGTCATCAAAACGTCTGTCCTCCCCCCATTGTAATATCCTGATAAGAATAATGGTAAAGATAAAGCTAATGTAAGTCAGCCATGCAAACCAATATAATTTATCATTTGGCGGAGTGAGCCTTGTAATTAGTACCAATAGATAGCTTCTTATATCTTTGCAAAGGATGACACTTCATACCTTTTCGATTGAATCTTCGCAAAGGATGACAATAAGCAAATAAGAAAAGAATATACACAAGCTTAGTATAACTAATGCTGGTCTTACCTCATTAATAAGAAAAGCCCCAATCGAAGTCCCCATATTACTACAAATAATGACAAAACCACCTGAAAGACCAAACGATCAAACAGAATAAAATGTTATCCAACAATTTCGTGAGCACTTCAATTACATTTTCGAGTAAATGCAGATTAATAAACATAAAATGACTCCACGAGGTGCGAGATAAAAACAGAACAGCTGAGAAATTAAATTCTCTAGCACAATACCCTATATTCTAAAGCTAATACTGTCCGATTTCAATTTACAATGAAATCATGGATCCCATTTAAAACAACAGAAGTGGTTGTTACAGCAAAGCTCCTGAAAACTGACGAAATGTACATGGGGATTAGGAGAAAGGGAAAGAGTTCGGGGAGGAGGGTACCAGAGGAAAAGTGACTACTAGCAAAGCCCTTGTTGGGATTAACAAAAACTTTCTAAAGTAATTTTAACAAAGATAACCAAACATCTAAATGATTGTCAAATCAGAGATTGATGCAAAATCTTACCTGTCGAAAGTGCCATGAACCCTTTAGCACCAAGGTCAAAATAGCAAGTATAATGAAGTTCGTACCTCCTGTAACAAAAAAGATTGACAGACAACTAGTAAGAAAGTATCCCACCAAACCTGGGACACTATAAGTAAAAAACAAATTTAAGTTAAAAGAGATTGGTATTCATAACAAGCTTCTCCATGGCAAATACTACTACAATGAATGGATAGTTAAGAGATGTAAAGTAACAGAGAACATGATTCGTTTAGCATAGGTATCTAAAATATGGTACCCAATTATTTAGTCTGCATTAGTCCAATCATTGGTGAATACGCACCAGCAAGCTAATGGCTAGATATATGCACCACAAAGCAGCATTGAATGTCACATTAAGCAAGAATATGATTATAAAAAGGTTAAACAATGACGAGAACAAACAAGAAATTGCATATTGGTGTAAAGTTGTAGTAGTATCTTGGAAGCACAGTCTAAAAGAATTGATTGATAGCTACAAGAAAGAATGTCAAATAAAAAAAAGACCGTGCCACACTGTTCCAGTAATTGAACAACGATTACTATAAACAAGAGATCGTATGCCCTCTATACAAATGGATTTCAGGGAACATAGTCAATCAGAAATCATTATATTCGTGATTCTTCATCTACCAATGGAAAAAATGCTTGAGTTTTCCATTCTCATATGAAGCCAAAAAGTGGATTGGCAAAAGGTCGGCACAAAGTGATTCATCATGCTCAAACATAAGGCGAACGAGAGGGTTTATAGATAATCAAATTCCCACATATGGAATGAAAAGTCATGTATGATAAAGAGTGTCAGATTAATAACATTGTGATTATAGTTAAAACAGCACCTATGACTTACCTCCCTCAACCAAAACAAAGGCGAAAACAAGAAGGAACAAAGCAAACCAACAACACAAAGTTGTACAAGAATGAAACCACATTTTTAACAAGCAATTAAAGTCTAAAATCTGGCTAAACCTCTTGCTGAATTTCATGATTATAGAGAAGGAAAATTCAAAGAAACAAAAAGATAAAGTTACTAATCTTACCCGCAAAGTCAGTAACTTTATCAAACCTGAAGAGTGCTGTGATAATGAAAAATGTTAACTGATAACCCAACTGCAAAAAACAGAAAAGAAAAAAAAACAGCAGATCATAATCCAAAGCAACAGAGAAGCTCCATCAAGGAACATAACATGAAAAGGGGGAAAAGAAAATGCTAACGGTAACAATGGCAGTGAGGCCCAAGAAAATGGGAATCCATAAACTTTCCCTGTTCGTCTTTGGAAGCTCCAAAGGCAACCCAACTAATGACTAATTTCTCTTTTGTTCATTGAAACCATGGGGGGGTTAAATCTGTGTGGTTCAAATTTCTTAGGTTGTTAAATCCTACGTTCCTAATTTATTTCATAACTAGCTTCCTAAATGTAGATCATTATTAGACATGCCCAATCCATAAAATTGCACGTTTCTCTTTTCCACACCGATGGTTGCACTGCATAACTAATATGTTTGAAATGTTATTGAACATTGTTTTAAGAAATTGGTGTTTAGAGTGTAAAAGCAATGATTGACTTTGATCATGGCTAGTGGTGCTTTGCTTGCTTTATTATCTGTTAAACTCATCTTGTTCGATCGATGTGACCACTGGATCTCTAGGCAAAGACACTAGAAAGAAGCATTGCCACGACACAGCATAAACTGGGAAACCCAACTGCAGTGGAAATTGAGCTCAGGCGGAGGCTTGGTCAATTTACCGATCATCTGATTCAAAAACAAGCTCAGGTTCTTCCTCTTAATTAACCGTGACTCAACCTGGAATGAATTTTATTGGGAAGAAATCTTGCTCTCAATTTTCTAGCTGTTCAAGCTGTCTATTATGTATTATATTTGCTGATAAACATAACACATGAATCTGTCTATGTTCAATATGCCAAAATGGAAAAGTTCATATTAATGGATCCTCGAATCCACCGTCTAATTCTGTAAATGATACCAAGCATGCTAACTTCCAATAGAGAGTCATTCATCTGGTTTTCTGCAGATAGTTGTACATGGACAGTAGACAGTTTCTGAACTTTGCTTGTATTTTAGGTTGAGGCGCTGTCTTCTGAGAAGGCCACAATGACATTTAAAATTGAGGTACATTTTTATCGTTGAATAAGATATTTCAATTACAATTTGAATAGCAGGTAGTTCACAGAGTGCTTCAATCCAATTTTTCGCATCATATTTAGGCGGTTTCAAGGTCGTTAGAAGAAAACAAGTCTATGTTAACTGATTTTCCCAGTACCTCAACAATGGGTGATTTGTTGTCTGGAATGTGGATCTCCAACTCAAAGTTGAGGCCTATGTTTGAAGAAAGAATGCGATCAGGCCAGCAACATTTTGGATCTCTGATTCGGCAGTTGGACTCCATCTTCTGCACCGGAATGGTGTTTCTTAGAAGGAACTCAAACGCAAAAAAAATTTCTCTGGTTTACCTCGTCTAACTTCATCTTTGGGTCATATACATTTTAATGTCTCATGCTCCTGTCTCTGAGGACACCACTGGTGCCGCTATTTCCTTGGAGAATATCAACAAAACAGGAGGCATATGATATCATTTATTGAGTGTATCATCATTTTTTTTGTTTTGAGGTCCTTTCAGCATCCCCACCCTCCTCAGCCAAAAACACAGATGTATAGAAATGCACCATTTGTTAAACAAGGAATGTATAAGTTTTAAAGGTTGATATGCATTTCACGGCAAATAGAAATTTCATTGATCTAGTTATGGTTATAAATCTTACTTACTTCAACTCATTATTATGACCTCCACGTTTATGCGTTTCTCTCCTTATAAATGACTGTCCCCGTTCCCCCAAGCTGCAAAATATTGATGGAAAATACTTGTACCAAATCAAACAATTTAACCCTAAGACTCACAAACTTAGTGAAATTACACATCATAGTGTTAAGGGTTTATATTCAAGACGTGTTTTGCATCCATTTGTTAATTAACATAAATTTCTGTCAAAGACATACTTTTGGTCTTTGGATGTGTACAATATACTGGAACCATGCTACTACAAAGGTAAAAGCCAGACTGAGGCGGACAAAGCAAACAACATTCTAACAAGATTCTTGTTGTTTAATTCTTAGTGAAAGCGCTCGAGTTGCCATGACAAAGAAGCAAGAAGGTTACTCAACTATGTAAATGCAAGACATGATTCAAGATACAATTGCAGAACAAAGCAAAAGAAGTTTGAAAACACTGCCCAAAACAACCAAATAGATCGAGTTTATTAAAAACATTTACACTATTGAACAGAGTAAGGGAGATGTTAAATTACGATTTTGAGCAGCCAAAGGAAGATATGGAATAATTAAGCAAAGCAAGTCTTCGCAGCGAGCAGCTGGCAAATTATTTGGACTAGTATGGAATCCCAAAAATTAAACTGTCAACTCATCTTCGGGTCTGTTCTACTGTTTCCTTGCTGGCTTTGTCTATTCCTTGCAAACAACAGAAATTTCTTATTAGTTCCATAACAATGTCTTCTAGGTAAAAGTTGAGTCTTGCAAATAACTAACAAAATCATAGATGGTGCTTGTGGTCATACTTGAAAGTTAGCTCCAGTTAAGGTTAAATCTTGAGAACTACAGAACTTGAAATTTGAATAGCACCAAAAAAATAGTTATGATACACATACATATCAACCAAATATATAAGATTGAATTAGGTTGACCCTTTCTGAAGTTCAGAGAGAGTGCTTCACTAAACTTCCGCTATACATAATTGGAACAAAAAATTGTGAAGGAGAAACTTTGAGCAAAGGATTTAGGTTTTACCAGCTTAACTCTTCTTGAGGAAGATTGCGACTGTACAAAGGAAACTCGAAAAGGAGTATGGTTTTGAACCATTGAGGAAGACTCCCATACACTCCAGGAGGCAGCAGAGTAAGAGGGCTGAAACAAGTATCATATCAATTTTACCATTTTACACTTATATCAGAGGAAATAAAAGTGAAAACTATAAACCAACCTAGTTTTTCTCTTATATGATCTGTATGCAGCAACATTTCCAAACTTCTTGTCTCCTGATGCCTGTTTAATTAGCACGTAACAGTATAAGTTCATGCTTAGAGGCAAATGCAGTAAGACAGAGGAATGATCGTACCTCAAGCAAGGGTATGCCACTAACAAAAAGGAGCAGCAAGGTTATGAATACTGGTCCAAACACAACTAGCCATTCAGCACCCTCTAGCACCGGTGTGGAAGCCAGGAAAACTCCCCACCAAAGTAAAATCTGAAGAGCAGTAGAAAATGTTTAGCTAGTCCATTTAAAGATGAAAAGAAGATTGTAAGATTGCAACTTGATGCGGTTTTCAGTAACATGTAGTTTTTAAGTGGAAGAAAAAAGCATTATGTTCATAGCCTTAAATTGAGAAATCAACTCTTCTGCCTTGGCCACCTCAATTATTTGTAACAAAGGGTGTAAAAATTTAAAATTGCCAGCCCTTGCTTATAAGAGAACTAGGAATTCTGTGCACTTAGATCTCAGAAGGAAGAAATTCAAATTCATCATGATGCTCCGGGATCAATTCTGGTGCATCTTTCTGAGTTGACATTCTTTCTGTCCACCTAATCTCGACTTATTTCCCTCTTTTTTCTTTGTATCTTTATCTCCCCTTTGTCCTTTATCTCTCCACCATGTACAGGTTCCAAGTCCAAACAGACACTCAACTAAGATATCATACAGTAGCATGGGTCACAACATAGGCTTAGCACGAGGAAACTCTTTATGCACAAAAAATATGCCATCCATTCACATCAGCTTGGTCAACTTATCTATCAAAAATACCACTTTTTCTTTCTGTTACAGGTTAAGGGGGCAAAGTTCAATGATGTTGGGTATTTCTTATACTAGGCTTGCATTCTTGACTCCCCCAAGGTGGATTTTGTTATGAGAGGTATAATGTGCCTAGGGTGAAAAATACTCCCAGATGAAAATATTTTTTACAATCAACAGCATCACCATTGATACATTAAAATAAGCTCTATGTGTCATTACAAGTCACAAGATTCTAAGTGCAGTATCTAGCTGTCCACATATGTTAGGTATCTGCACTGCATATCCCTGAACTGGCGTCATATTGTAAAGCCGAAGATCCCCCAGCTTTCAGTGTATCTTACTATCTTTAAATGCTATTCATAAAACAAAACTGTAAAGATAATCAAGAGTATGTAACATGTACCCCATGACTTCCACAAAAGGAAACCCTTTTTGAATGAACTCGTAGTATTACTCTCGTAGACCAATTTTATGGTCCTACATGGTTGGGTTCAGTTATTACGAGAAAAGCTAAATTACAGTACTGAAAAGAGAAGTGAATCATATATAGAGCAAAAACCTACTTCATATGAGTTAGAGATTTTATCTTTGCAGGAGTGCCTCCCATATAACTTTTGAAGTCATCCAAAATCTTAAAAACAAAGAATAGCGAAGGGGAAAAGGATCCCATAGAAGGTGTCATCAAAAAAAAAAAAAAGGATCCCATAGAAGGAAATTGACACTTCAGGCTTAGGATGGACAAAAACAAAAAGTTGTTACCATATTTTTAGTCTGGACAGAGTATCTTGCAAGAAGATAACTAAGTTAAAACCTCCTATGGGTCACAACATTGTTTGCGCAGGCATGCGGAATTTGTTCTCGTGAAACAAGCAACTCATCAGTAGCTCCATCAGGTTGAACCTTACGGCATCAAAACTCACAATAACTTCCACAAACTACAACACAAAAGAAGAGACATTTAAAAGGACTAACCTCACCAAAATAGTTTGGATGACGAGAATATTTCCAAAGGCCAACACTGCACCACTTTCCTCTGTTCTCCGAGGAGTTTTTGAACGCCAATTTTTGTTGGTCAGCTGTAATCTCAACTAAAATCCCAATAATCCACATAATCCAACCAATGATGTCTTGATCCTGAACAGAAGGCTGCTTGTCACTTGCATTAACAACTGTCACTGGTAAACTAACAGTCCATACCCAGATTGCCTGCAATTAAAATTAAGTCATCATTCACAAAGCAAGAGTATTAATTCTTCTGTTGCCTGCATGAATCATTCACTAAAGTGGAAGTATCTATTTCTGCTGAGAGCCTAAAACCAATATAAAGCAAGACAATTTACGAGATGGATGGATAGAAGGAAACAAAACCTGAAGTATCCAAAATATTGCCAGTTTTCCAAGATTGTCACGTTTGTCATCAAAACGTCTGTCCTCCCCCCACTGTAATATCCTGGTAAGAATAATGGTAAAGATAAAGCTAATGTAAGTCAACCATGCAAACCAATATAATTTATCATTTGGGGGAGTGAGCCTTGTAATTAGTACCAATAGATAGCTTCTTATATCTTTGCAAAGGATGACACTTCATCCCTTTTCGATTGAATCTTTGCAAAGGATGAAAATAAGCAAATAAGAAAAGTATATACACAAGTTTAGTATAGCTAGTGCTGGCCTTACCTCATTAATAAGAAAAGCCCCAACCGAAGGCCCCATATAACTACAAATAGAGACAAAACCACCTGAAAGACAAACGATCCAACAAAACAAAATGTTATCCAACAATTTCCTGAGCACTTAATTACATTTTCGAGCAAATGCAGATTAATAAACATAAAGTGACTCCACGAGGTGCGAGATAAAAACAAAACAGCTCAGAAATTAAATTCTCTAGCACAATACCCTATATTCTAAAGCTAATACTGTCCGATTTCAATTTACAATGAATGCATGGATCCCATTTAAAACAACGGAAGTAATTGTTACAGCAAAGCTCCTGGAAACTGACAAAATGTACATGGGCATTAGGAGAGAGGGAATGACTTAGGGGAGGAGGGTACCGGAGGAAAAGTGAATACTAATAAAGCCCTTGTTGAGATTAACAAAAACTTTCCAAAGAAATTTTAACAAAGATAACCAAACTTCTAAATGATTGCCAAATCAGAGATTGATGCAAAATCTTACCTGTCGAAAGTGCCATGAACCCTTTAGCACCAAGGTCAAAATAGCAAGTATAATGAAGTTCGTACCTCCTGAAACGAAAAAGATTGACAGAAAACTAGTAAGAAAGTATCCCATCACACCCGGGACACACTATAAGTAAAAAGCAAATTTAAGTCAAAGATATTGGTGTTCATAACAAGCTTCTCCACGGTAAATGCTACTACACTGAATGGATAGTTAAGAGATGTAAAGTAACAGGGAACACGATTCGTTTAGCATAGGTATCTAGAATCTATCCCCAATTATGATAACCTTCTCATGAATCTAAGGCAAGGCCAAAATTGAATATCCCATAGTTTAAGAACGCATCTTGTGAAGTGAAAACCCAAACATGGCCTAGATAAGAGGAATATCTAGTCTGAATTAGTCCAATCATTGGTAAATACGCACCAGTAAGCTAATGTCTAGATATATGTACCACAAAGCAGCACTGAATGTCACATTAAGCATGAATATGATTATAAAAAGGTTCAACAATGACGAGAACAAACAAGAAATTGCATATTGGTGTAAAGTTGTAGTAGTATCTTGGAAGCACAGTCTAAAAGAATTGATTGATAGCTACAAGAAATAATGTCAAATAAAAAAAAGATTGTGCCACACTGTTCCAGTAATTGAACAAAGATTACTATAAACAAGAGATCGTATAGCACGCCCTCTATAAAAATGGATTTCAGGGAACATAGTAAATCAGAAATCATTATTATATTCGCGATTCTTCATCCACCAATGGAAAA